TGGTACTCCATTTTTTAGAGCGCAGCGTGCCAACGACAAGATGATTATCGGTTGATAGCTCTGCGCCTCTATTAAAGCGAACATCCATTACTGAGCGTCTTAAGTCAGCCGATACGATTATCAAGTCGATCATCGACTTCTGTGCACAAGCTTCCCTGTACCAGGTGTACTGATGCACTTTTCGATGTTCGAAGAAGGTGTTCATAATAGACAGTCCGTTGTTTGCACGAAACCGCAACAACTTCATGCCCTTATTTTTGAGATTGCTAGGGCCGTTCTTTCGAATCATGTCTTTCTACTTTTAGGCGTCTACTAAGACATGCACATTAAAATCGCCCATCAGTGTGAGGGACTCCGTATTCCGCACTTCCTACAGAGCACACTCCACTTCCTCAGGGAAGGATTCATCTTCTCCCTCTGAATTGGGATTATAGACTTGTAACAAGGTAAACGCTTTAGCCTGTTGTAGCTGCAGTCGGAGTATCACCTTTCTTCTGACAGGCTTCCAATCAATAATTTTATCAGGGAGGTTGGATTCTACCAGAACACAAGCACCGGCCTGAGTGCGCGTCGTGACATCGTTACCTGAGTAGAATAGGCTCCACCCGCAGATGTTCAGGATTCCAGAGTTTGTTGACGAGAGTCAATTTGGTACTTTATGGTTTCATCAACTTACTCTTGTTCTTCCCCCCTCAGGGAGGATATGTTCCAATTTCCGACTTTAAGCTCCCACTGGTTGTGTCGTTTTCATGGAGCCTTTTCTGACATGCTATAATGACATCCCACTGTCTGCCTCCTGCGTTCAGAATGCTTGGTGGATCCGTTGCTGATTGGTAATTTCGTCGTTGTTCCGTCGGTCTTCGATGTTGTGCTGCTACGCCCCTGTCTGTCAGAGAGCGATGAGCAGGTTGTGATTGCCGACTTTTCGCAGTGTGCCTCAGTCCCCCAACAGCGTGCGTGATCCTTGGTAAGCCAGGCGGCGACTGTGCCCGTATAATTTTCGATGACGTCAATATCATGAGTGGCAAGTGGCAGAATTTTAGAGACTTCGCCACAGTTTCCAATCCTCCCCCTTTCGGAACCGGGTTTGGGACCGGCAACAGCGGAGCAGAGTTATTTCCATTTTTTACTGATTTTGCCTTTGAGAATTCTGACTGATCATTTCGTTCATAACAGGTCATAGTGAAAGGGAATTTATGGCCATTCTAAAGCTTTTACAGTCAGCCGTTTTCCTTCTAGAGTAGGTAAAGAATGTTAAGTTGATAAATAAAGAATTTTTATAGTAGGATATTTTCTGCTGCTTTCACTAATCTCATCATGAGAACATGCTGTTGTGTGATCCGTAACTTTCGTTGATCCGTTGAACTGTGAGAATGGTGTAAACTTAACTTTGACTTTATAGCACTGATGAAACTGCGACAAAAGGGTTATGTCAGCTCCGAGTTTGACGAGATGAAGATGGATCTAAGCAAGCAGAAGGCTTCTCCGAAAGTGAGAGAACCCCTTCGCTATAGCCGATGATGCCTCAATAATCTCATGACCGATTTTAGCCGCGATTTGTGGACATGTTCACGGACAAAGTTCTTCGCTGGGCGCTGATTATCGCAGCAATGATGATGCTATCGCAGCAGCTGTCTGGCATAAATGCGGTAAAAGAACTTTCATGATGTCATGTCGTCGACAGAGTGACCGCAGTCCATTTTCCAGGTCATGTTTTACTCGACGAGAATATTCCGGGACGCCGCGCAGTTGCAAGAATCTGAAGCGCAGCTAGCTACATTGGGACTTGGTGCCACCAACATTCTGATGACCCTTATATCGACGGTTATTATCGATCGAGCCGGCAGAAGATCATTGCATTTGACTGGTTTGGGTGGAATGTGTGTGTCTGCCACAATGCTGACCCTCTTCATGACGCTAACGGTTCGTTCCATGGCGTTGGCTTTTGATTACAGTCATAATGAAATTGTCGTTTTAGCAGTATTCATACGCATGGGCTTCCTACATGAGCATCTTGTTCCTATTTGGATTCGTCATCTCATTCGCCGTCGGACCTGGTAATCTTGTGTTATTAGTGACAATCTCATGTCGTTTCCATATCTTTCTTGATAGGCTCCATACCATGGTTTTTCGTCAGTGAACTTTTCAATGAAAACGCGAGGGGCCATGCAACATCAATCGCTGTTCCAATCAACTGGTTTGCGGCGTTCATCGTTTGCTTAACTTTCCCGCAGTTACAGGTAACCTACTATAGTTTTGGATCGCGATTCCACAGACCAACCCTATAAAGGGGCGTTTTGAACAAGGTTGTAGGGCGATCATTGAAATGTTATTCACTCTGATGCTTTCCTGGTTAAAGAGCTTATCGATATTCCGGTTGGTAACTAGATTAGTCTTACACTGCTCCCTTTTTGATGATTAATATTTTGCTGACTAAAATTTAATCGCACATACGACTGAGTCCAAATTTGATTCCAATGACTTTGTATTGGAAACTGCATCATTTTTACTCTGCTGTCACTGGCTAAATTTACAATTAAATGAAGTTATCAGTTCGTTTACCTTGTTTTTGTTTTTTCTGTGGCGATATTGAAAGATTTATGCTTTCTTTAACTTTAGACGATGATCAAGCAGTACACGTTCCTGATATTCGCTGTTCTGTTGAGCCTATTCTGGCTGTTTACGTACAAATTTGTACCGGAAACGAAGAACCGACCGGTGGACGACGTGGTGAAGGAGTTACGCGAGTTCGTCAAAAGACATTAAGTAGGATGCTTATTCAAGGTTTATATGTACTTATGTGCAGGATTGAATAAAATTTTAAATGTTTCGTACTAGGATTTGTCTGAACTATATTGAGATTTGGTCATGCGCATGTGTATCCTTTATCCGTCCATTGATTCACAAATTCACATTTTGACCCTCTGTCTGTATCTTGGTTTCGTTTGAAACTACATTTTGATATTGGTTTTTATCGATTTTAGTACTTGTAGCTTTCCTCAATCTGTTTTATAAGCACAGATTTCGATAGGCAGTTAAATCCGCAGTAGGATGCACATCTCTCTTGTGCGGTTAAACAGAGGCGTAATTTTAAGGCAGCTGAATACTACATAGTGCTGTCTCTGTATTTTATCATTTATTTGAAGAATTGAACGCAAGCGTAATAAATCAGATAACTTTCGTCTTGAAGACAGGAAGGATGGTTATTGCAGGAATCGTAGCAGAATACCCTCATATCGGACTGAATGGGTTACAGGCCGTTCAACCGCGTTCTCCTTTGGCGTTTCGACATGTCATGTCTCATCGAAACAGGCTTTTATGAAGGTGACGATCTCATTGACCGTTCTGCTTATGCGACGGCTGCCAACTATTTGCTAAGGCTTAATGCCCTTTGACAGGGGACGAAAAAGTGTATCAGATCGCATGCTTGCTGCGGGGATTACCAGTTCGTCCGTGATGACCCTATGCATCGAATGTCTTCCTCTTGTTCATAGCGATGGTAGTTGATCTTATGATATTCAACTAGGTTTGTCAATTTTGTTTATTAGTAAAAGGTTAATCCGAATGAATCTGTATAGTCCGTAGGTTCACAGCAGATTCAGTGACTTCAAAAAATTTCACGGAAAGAAAGTGCCTATCAGAAAACGTAAATTAAGACTGAATTATTGGTCAGTAATTCTAGATTTTGAAGATGCATCGGCTTATTCGTGAAAAAAAACATTTCATATCTGTTAAATTAACGTTTGCTGTAAGTTTTATTCAGGCAGAGTATTATTCGTGACTTCATCGAATGATTGCTTTCCGAAAGAATTAAATTAAAACTAAAATTACAAAAAGATTAGATTAACGGCAGCTCGATGCACACAACAGTATCATACACTGTTTCACGGAACGAACTAAACAGTGGGATGATCAGCAAAAAGAAAGACACTAAAATACAACAGGTGTGAAAAAGCGGTGAAGACATCAACAGTGAAGGTGCAAACGCGAGTAGCAATAACCAGTAATTCTGTAAACAATTTTTTGGAGGGGTATCGATGTATAAAAAGGTGAAACGACCAATCAGAAGAAAATGGTCCAACTGCACGCTGACAAAACAAAAACTTGTTGACCATGATGATCAGATGGAGAAGTCAGCTCAGTTGCTGGAAAAGTTTGCCTTTCACCTGAGACGCGGTGCCGGCGAAATGAGAACTTAGTGGACATTTGGGTAGTCACAGCTGCGTAATCACCGTACTTTGGCTACAATTGAATATTGGTTTCGAAATCTGGTGAAAACTTTGCTCCATACACGTTGCATCAAGGATACCACCGTCGTCAACTGTCTCTCCGAATGCCGCCCTAAATTTAACCCATATAAAATGATGCATATCACAAAAGCTACCAGCTCTGTTATGATCGTTT